CCAAACTCTTCGGCCTCGGAGTGAGTGACCAAAAACACTCAGACTCCAAAGACCACGGTCTATCTCTGGGGCTCCCGACCAGCGGCCACCAAGGCCCAGGCAGCCCAGGTGTGTTCGAAATGGACCTCATCTTGCAGCCCAGGTGTGTTCGAAGTATCGAACTGCCGAGATGGTTCGATCGAATCTTGGTGACAAAAGGGCCTGATTTGTCCAGTTTTGGCACTGGGTTCCAGTGTAGGTCGCGGAAAACCAAGGTGTGAGCTATATTAGGGTGACTCTTGTGACTACGACTGGTCAAAAGAACGGTGCTGATGCCGTACTTGAACACTTTGGAGTCCAAAGTACTGAAAATGAGCATCACCTTCTTGCAACAATCTAATTGCGAAGTAACCTCTACACGACTGAAACAACGTACAAGGCGTGGGGCCCCTGGGGAAAATGCTCGCATTGGCCAATGACAGCATACCGGCGCGTTAGACATGGCCTGTCCAAGAACCCATTGAAACAAAAAGCTGCCTTTGATGTGAGCCTTGAAACATCTGTAGAATCCTACAGAGTTCTGTGCATGGAAGCCGGAACACCCGGTGGGGAACAGCAGTTCAAGTCTCTAAATCTCTCTTCGCAGGCCTGTTTTGGAACCCTAAAGCTCTTCACAACCGCGTGCACGAAACAGAACACTTCCAATGCTGGAACTGGGTGATCATTATGGGTACCACATGGCACCTGTCTGCCCTTGTAAAACAGCTGATAACAAGCCCATGTCGGCCCAGGTTCCGGAAGAAAACCAAGTCTCTTCGTCCTGAGGCCATCACTGAGAATGAAAGTATCCATGCCAACCCGACGAAGAGCGCCCATGGCACGAAGACCGCCTGGCCGAGCTCCCGTCGGCGACAGCTCTCGGCAGCGAGTCCGCCGAATTCGGGATCTCTGTGGAGAGCTCCGGACCCAGTAACAAGGGCATCACTATTAGTAACAGGGGCATTATTACTAGCTAGCAGCTATAGAAGCTACTAGTAACAAAAGGCATCACTAGTAGTAGCTCCTAAACACATCAATATTAGCAATAATCCTAACTAGTGCTTGCTTGCTGTAAATTATATAACCTAGACGACCTCCTTGTGGTCGTCTATTCTTCTGTCCTTTTGACCTGTGGGAAAAAACGCAGGGTCCCCTGGTTTGGACCCCTATAGCTGCAGCTCTGACCTTTTTGGTCGGAAGGTCCGCTCAAAAAATCGATGGGCTGTCATTTGGAGGAGTGTCGCTTCCAATTTGAGATGAACTTATTGCTTTTTAAGTTGAACGTATTGGAAACACCATTAACACCAATACACACCGGGTGGATGCGACCACCGCGAAAACGGTACTTCCTTGCACAACCATGTGTGTTTGCTTCTTCAGCCGGTCTAGCCAGCGAGCAAACTGTCAGAGCAATCTGCACAACTGGAGATCAAGATAAATATTACGAAATCTCGGGAGATCTCAGGAGACAAAGGAGCTGACATGGTTCTAACAATACTTGGAGCCTCCCAATGTGACAATCCCTCCAACAACATGTGTCCAGGAGAGATGAGTGCAAACCAACACAAACACAAAGCAATAGAAAAACATAGTGAATCTCCGGCAAAGTATATACAATATGTATGGTATCTATTTTGCAAACCATGGACACTTCTAACCTCCAAGATGCCCCCAGAGTTGGGGGCCTCCAGCATGGCGAGTCGGTTCAATCTCCATCTCCTCGTCGCATGTCGCGGGTGGCACCCCGTGGGTGGTTGGTCTTTGAGTCGAAGAACAAAGGATTGATCATCACTGACATCTACTTGCTTCGTGTTGGCAAACTTGCCAACGATAGAAGACACATACTCCAAAAACACACATATGTATGTAATATATATACACTCTATGGAACTCCAAGCCAAATGTTGATTGAATGGTCGTTGCCAATGATTTGCTTTGCAGTTTTGTTGGCCTTTTTGTAGAGGCATGATACTTCTATTTCAGAGTTCGTGCCTGAAGCGCCTGGGGATAAAGCTGACGGATTTTGCTGTTCACCTCGGAGCTTTTGCTCCAACACACTTTTCATACATTCCGTTACATTCCTTCGACCCCAAAAGAGACGTGTTCTTGAAGTGTACCAATGTTTTCACTCAACTTTGGAGTCTATCTAGCTGACAAAGACCTGCTGGAGAGCACAAATGATTGCGAACCCTTGGGTGATACTCACCAGAAACACTGTCAGTGGCCCGGGTACTTGACGCCCGACCCCGTCCTAGGCGTCTTTTGCTGATTGAAATCCACCGAGCCATATGCTTCCTCAGCACAAATTGGAAGGAACCTAATAGCGATGGCCTCCGAGATCATTGCAAACCTTTGGTTGATGAGCCCCCACATTGCCAAATCACGACTCAAGATAGGCCCATTTGTGGGTGGATAAAAAATGTCACACAACTCAAGATTATATGGGGTATATAGATAATATATCTTCCCTACTATCTTCCCTCCCTTAGAGGGAGGCCCTCCCTAGCCCCCCTCCAGGATTAATTTGTTTGATTAATCTGGGGACCTCAGCATTCATAGGGGACCTCAGCATTAAAAAAATAAGGAATCAATTAATCCAGTTAATCCAGGGGACCTTGACCTCAATTGTTTTGTTATTAATTGAGCCTATGCAAAGATCATGCTCCCTGCATCATGCATGCTCCCTGCAGCACACATCGCAGGCACACATGTATCCAATAATTAGTTGACTATGGTTAACTCCTGTTACACCCTGTCTCTATTTCTCTGTCACATGAGTCACAGCTGCAAGAAATTGATCTTGAACTTTTTTGCTAAAGGTCTCTTGATTAATTTCCAAAAGTTTAGGGGGGGTACACCTCTGTGATTTTGCACGACTTTGAGAAATTAATCCAGAACTAGTTCGCACACTTAGGGAGGGACCCTGATTAACTTCCTGAGGTTGGGTAGATTGTATTATATGTAATGTTGATCTAATGACCACCTGTGCATGAGGGGTGTTCCCGTATAGATAGACCGTCTCGAGTCTACCATAGCCGTCCGTTAATAGACCGTCCGATGAGCGAGGTATACACAGTATACAAAAATGAGGAGCCTTTGATCAAATAAGATTGAACTCATCTACAGCGAATTGATAAAGTATAAACCAAAAGCCGAACGCACCTCCCGCTTTTTACCCGCCTCCTCTGTATTTCCAAGGGTCAATCTTCGGGTTTCTACTTTTGGACTGTTACCTAGGTTAGGGGGAACGACCTGAAGCAATAGATTCTCCACAACGAAGGCAAGCTGCACCAATGGTTTCATGTGTAGGTCGCCAATATCATTCCCTCGATCCCTCTATGGGACCACGGCCCACCGGGCCCTCTTTTCTGGTCTGTTCAGTCTTGATCGTCCTCCTTCCGAACGGTCCAGAACTCGCGTCTCACCGTCCCAGTCACCGGTGGTACGGCGACATGTCGGGAGGTCCCGCTGGGATGGGCGTCACATGGGCCCCACCGGCGTGGGCGGTTCCGTCGGTCGCATGGGGCCCCGGCTGATGGGTGCATCGCCTGGCGAACCGAAGGTTCGAAGTGACCAGTCGAACTGTTCAGCTTCGTTCGGGGTTTCGCTATCGTTGGGTCCCTTCGTCCCTCTGGGGTGTTTCGGGGTATCCAACAGTCGATCAGTCACATGGCACTGCAGGCTTAGTAGAACCCAGACTTAAGCTGAAGATGGTCGATCAGATTGTGCCTCATCATTTTAGCTAGCGGAAGACATTCAATTCGGAATGTCTGGTCGATGGTGAGGATGTTTGAGGGTGGCTCGAATCGACGCTCAGCTACCAACCAACAGGATGAAATCCCAGGCCCGCCGTGGCACCCCGGCACCCCTTCCTCCATCTTCCCTTTAGCATCCCTTCCTCCATCTCCCATGGTCTCCCCTTTTCAACGTGTTTTTTTCTCCACCCAGTGGCCTCAATCGATGCCTCTAAATGTACACTATCTGACTTTCTCGGGCGATGGGTGGATCGCCCGCATCCCGCCCCGGCTGGAGCTCCGTGGCCACGGCGTGCACGGGGCGATTCAATCGCTGCGGATGCACGGTGGCTCCGGGCAACCCAGTCTTGGAACCCACCGCAACCGCCTCAAATGCAACCCTGGCCGACAGAAATGGATCCCAAGGCCCTTTAGGCACCTGAGACATGCTGTTTTTCTAACGGTGCCTTTTCTGTTATAGGATCTACATGGGTGGCCCACGGTCAGGGTTGACTGCTGACCACGGTCACGTTCATCCCCCAACATGAAAGGACAACTTCACCTCGAACCTATTGTCATTGTAACCTAGAAGCTGCCTGCCGCTGGCTCCACCTGCTTTCTTGATGCAAAGAACAATTATAATTATACAGTGATACAGCAACCAGGCCCCAACCTGTGATGAGTAGGGCCTCAAAGGCTCGCATAAGGTATGGTCACATGTTGGCGGATGCTTTGGGAGACTCTGTATGACTCATTTTGACTCTGTGCATTTGCATGGCGACCATGAACTGCACAATGCACACATAAATCAATCATCAATCAATATCCCGTATAGGTCTTGAGGTCACCCAGCAGCATCTCTCATTCTGGCAGTTGATCACTTCGAGGCTTCCTACAAAAGAACAATGTAGATGAGGGGGGCCAACTTTGTCTTTGTGGGCACTCTGAATGTCCTTGCCCACCCCCACAAGAACTACACTCCTTGGAATAGTCATGGAAAACTACCTGTTTGGTATTCGGACAAAATGGCTATCCTTCTGAGGCCATGCCATACACGGAACATTGATGATTCCAGTGTAAAGAATGACCAACCACCCGCTAGTAACGAGAACAAGTGCTGGGATTTCTGGAAGTCTCGGCTTTCTGCAGCTGAACCTCTTGAGCCCGTACCGAGGAGGCTCAATGACCCTCCCAGTCTTCATCACAGCGGTGCTGCCATCAGCCCCAGCTCCACATCTTTTGAACGTGGCACAATTGGTGGCACGGTGAAACTCGAGCTAAGATGGGCGACCCCTGCCTGAGTTTGCACTTGTGCGTGTGGCTCGAAGACTGAGTCATCCGACAAGTTTCCTGCAGTATCTGACTGACACTGGCGAACATGCCCTTGAAGATGTTTGTTGGACATCCGCAATTCGATTGCAGTTGTTACCTTCCCAAAGCTGGTGCCTGTAAGAAAAAATACGTCCAGTGGATCTCTCCCACATGTTAGATACAGCCATACTAGAGGGAAACCAGTGGATTCCAAGGATTGTAGATTGTAAATGATTATTGCCTGGCAGTAAACAAACTGGCCAGGTTTGGGCGGCATTTATCCAAGATTCTTCACATTTGGATCGTCTTCTTGCCAAACATGCCCACGAAAACTGTCCTTTGAGTTTCCAACATATCGAACGCTTTGTGGAATCTGGAGGAGTTTCTACATGTACGACCCCAAACTCTCAATGTATGATGAACGCCTTGGTCTTTGGGCCACCCCCCCGGTCTCATCATCTTGGTTCTTGACGAGTCATCCGAACATGTCGTAGTCTCCACGCGTCGTCTCATGGGGTCGACACAGCTTGGCTGTTTTCATCTCAGCCGCCGCGCCCACCCTTCACAGGTGCGGCCTTTTCGGGGCCTCGGTTTGCGAAGACGTTTGCTCGACGTTCGCCTCAACGAGTGTCTTCGTTGGCTGGTCTTAGGGTCTCTTCACCGGGGGTCAGTGGGCTCACTTCGAAAAAACCCCACCATGACAGTTCAATGCACTATAACATGAACGTAACTCACTATAACATGCACTTGTTTTGCCATAGCAAGCTGTTGGCATTGTGACACATCCCGACTCCATGTTGTTGCACCTGTCATCGGCTTGCACGCAGAAAAAAACAGATCAGCTGGACACCTGAACCACACGTCAAATGCTTTCAGCAAGCAAAACATGCCAACTCATGGCAGCATGCCGCCCGTCAGGTCTTGGTGGTTGTGTGCTGTGAATGTGTCTTTGTGGTTGTGTGTTTGCAATAATTATGTGTTTGTGGTTGTGTGTCTAGGTTTGTCACTGTGTGTTTGTGATTGCGCTTGTGGTTGCGTTTCTGGTCGTGTGTTTGCGATCGCGTGTTGTAGTGTTTGCGGTCCGGCGGGGAACACTGCCACGCGGCCCTTGCCGTTGAGGTCCGGCGGGGAACACTGCCATCCAGAGCTGGCGGTTGAGGTCCGGCGGAGGACGAGGAGGACGAGGAGGAGGATGGCAGCTGACATAAAATCTAACATGCTAACATGCCTCACCTGACAGGTGGGGCAAAAGCATAGAGTAAAAAGGTCGTAGCTGGGCCAAGGTAAACCACTCCATGTGTCAAAGCAGATTTAGTGCGACCAGGTGACCAGGCCTTTGACCAAATTCTCTTTTAAAAAACAAGTAGACATCCAAGACATCCAAGTGTGAGTGAACATTTACATGGATCGCATGGATATCATGCCTGGAATGTCTGTTTTCCAGACCGCACCCGTTCTGAACCCATCTGTTTTCAGCGACGCTTTGCGTTCGCTGAACCAAAGGAACATCACACATCATCACCTTAGTGGTTGGAAAGGTCTCAACACCAACACCGGACCGTACTGCATACAGTAAAGGTACACCCTGGGTGTGTACACCTTCCCTCCACAAAGATCATGTTCCGACACTTGGAGTTGCGTCGAAGTCCCCAAAACTCCCTGAAACCAAGAGTCCAAAACCACACCTCTATGGACTGAAACCATCAATGCTCTTGTTCGTTGCAAAGCGGGGAGCTTGGCACAAAGGAAACTCAAGGGAACCCAAGTGTCTGATCAGTCATAGGATTCTACCAAAGACCTCAACATTCTCCTGCAACTGGCTTCTATGAGCAGCTGGCAGTTCCATCCAACCTGATTGTCCCTTATCGGCACATGTCCGCATCAAGAATTGCCTTTTTTTCTCTCGGATAATTCGTTGGCTGGTAAGCAAAGCATCGAAAGGTCTTTGCTTCTTTGAGCAGATGCAACCAGCAAAATATGTTGTTGATAAACCAAAAGCAAAGTTCCTGGTTTGATGATGTGAAAAATGGATGTCTCCTAATTACAAAGCTGTTCTTAACTCATAATTAAGTTTGATATATCTATTGGTGCCGAGAGTTTCTCAGTCTTGTGTTCCTCCTCATTCATGGGTGCTGACTTAAGGCGTTTGGACGCACCAACCTGCACCATCCGTTCGTCGGGTATCCTGGCTGGAGATCCCTCGGTTCCCTAAGTCTGTAGGGTCCAGATCCGACTTTGACCAAGGGTCCTGGTAGAAGCCATGAAACATCTCCACATCCACACAGCCCATCCATCCATCCATCCATCCATTCATCCATCCATCCACATGGCCAATGATTGCCTCGTAAAGGCTCCACATCCGTTCTTGCAAGCAGAACGACCCCCTCGTCGGACCAAACCGGTGAAGACCGGTGCAGCCGACCGTCTACCCGTCCACGGATTGATTCTGTCCGGCGATGGGATTGCCCTATGGATCCACCTACCTTGGACCTGGTACGGTGAGCAGGGAGACTGTGTAGGCGCCAGGAGGGTCCAATTACCTGAGGTTCGGTAGGAGTGGATCCATAGGGATGGATCAACAGATTCACACACAGTTTAAATACTGCATTTAAGTGATCCAATTCAGCTATGACGGTGGGTGTAGGAACTAAGACTGACCAATACAAAACCCTTGATGAATGAAACTCACCATCTACCTGTCCGCCTGAAGGGGATGGCTTTTGGCACAGGTCAGACTGCTGTCCAAATCTGCACAAGAATCCCCAAGAGGAAGACATCAAGATCCTCATGATCCTTTCTTGAAAGATCCCTTATCCTGTTTCATGTGTTGTCAGAAATTTGGATGCTTGGTCACCCCTTCCGATCAAATGTTGCATCTGCATGGGATCACTGTGAGGCAGAGATCTATCAGCTACCAGCGCTTGGCTGTTCAGCATGGACGAAGAGCTGGCGGGAATTCTCCAAAACCTAGCAAAAGGGATTGCTCCCTAGCCCATCCCAAGAGAAAGTAGACTGTAGCCACCAACTGCTCGTTAGTTAGTCCCCGAAACCTAGTCGAGTTATAGTTGTACTATGTTCTGTTTGTATTAATGATACTTATAAGCCTGAAACCCGAACCGTGAAACAAAGCACGAGTGAGTTGAGTGTTCTTCCCCGACCGTGAGGGGAGATGGAGGGCCAAGCCGTAAGATGCCCTAAGTATCGTACGGCTATGAGTTTGAATATAGAATGCCCTAGTGAAAATGCCTAGTTCACTGGTGGCATGATATCATTCAAAAAGGATGCCCTGGTGAATACAAGTTTATTCTTAGAGGTTCACCTGCCAAGTGGGTACAAATCGAGGTTCCCTCCCAGTTCCCAGGTTCCACGCTTCATTCGCCGGGCGCCGTAAAATGGTCCGCCAAATTATGTACAAAGCTTCCAGAAGGGCCTGGCTGAAGCCAATGGACCAAAGCCGAGAATCAAGATGAACCACTCGGAGTGGCATAGGGTATCGACATGTATGTCACATGTCAACCAACGAAAGAATCTCATGAAAAAGGATGAAAAGGGCAGGTGCTGAGCTCCTAAGCCTGAATTGAGTGTCCTCAAAAGCCAGGCAGCCATCCCCTGGGATCCCCCCTAAAAAGAGGTGGCCACGTTGTAACCATTACATAAAAAGCCTCCCTGACAGCTCTCTTCAAAGAACACAGAAATTCCACTCCAGGAACCCAAGTGGTTCTGGCCCAACAGCCTGGTTGTCACAGAAAGAAACCTGCAGGATTTGGTACAGCTCGAAACATTGGCCAGTGGGACAAGACCTGTGGGAGATCGTGGGACAGCTCGCCCAACAGCCACATTCTTCTCATCGTTTTCACCAGCCAGCTGCGCCTGTATTGAGCTTCAATGGAATGGATGCTGCACCTGCACCAAAATCAAGCAGGCAAAAACCAAAGACATGCTTTTGGCCACTGTATATCCGGCAAACAAAAACAATAAAACGCTTGTGGAACCCGTCAAAAAGTTCAACCACATGTTCAACTTCCAATCCAATCTCTGTATAAAGCAGGACCAAACTTAGACCAAACTTCCACCATTCCCAAGCAACCCAGTCTCTGACCGGTCCATTAATTGGGTTCCCCCCTCCGATCCAAAAGCCCCACCCCCAAGCGCCCAGATGCCGATCCCGTGGCCATGTGTGGCAGTGGCCCACAGGCGTCCATCGTGGAAGATCGAAGTCGAACGATCCATGTCGTCGGTCAAAATCATGCGGCCCGGTCATGCACCCAGAAGCAAAGGAGTAAGAACCCCTCACAGGTGTCGCCCTGTTTGAGGAACTCAAAAAAAAAAGACAACCTAAAAATATACGGACTTGGATCTACAGAACAAAACACCGCTTCGTCCTGGTGTTGAACGATGCTTAATGACACGGCACGACCGATCTACGTCGTCCATCAGGATCTCATCCAAACACCGTGTTGCCACGGCACGACCGTCGTCGGATGCGATGAGCCCGGTGGGACGAAAACGGGAGATGCGATGACTCATCTTCCGTCGACCGGACCGAGCTGAAGAGTTCGTGACGATTCGCATCCGGGTGTGGGACCTGAAGTGAACGGACCTGAAGAGACCTGTTGGTGACCTGTCCTGGTGTCTCGCGACCTGTTGGTGACCTTCGGATCCCTTCCACGAACTGTTTCGGACGTCCGACCCTTCGACGGTGACGCCCTTCACACCGGCGGGCCGGTGCGAATCCTTCGCAAGGTGATAGCTCAGTGGCTGTTAGCGGTGGAGTGTACTGCTGCCCCGTTTGGAATTAAGAAACAAACGCAACATAAACATCCAGGGACCGTAGACCAAACTGGGTTGTTGCTATATCGGGGCGTATCTCCCATAAATCAAACAATCCCATGTGTAAGGTCGGAAACTACCATCACCCACCTCAAGTTTCCGCAAAAGCTGCTCGATGTCGGACTGGGGCACTGAGCCTTGAAGGATCTCCTGGCGGGACCCCGACCAAAAGAATGCGTTTTGTTCTATTGGCGGATTTGCATGCAGGGGATTTGCTGGTGTTGCACATCGGGTTGTTTATGATTTGAGCAACCCGATGAAAGGAGTTGTTATCTCATATTCATCGAACGCACCTGCCTGGGGTTGCTAAGCTTGGTTGAACAAGTGATGTCATGGCAGAACCCCCCCAAAAAACACTACAACCCTTGAGATACCTTTAGCTCTTAGTGACCTTGTGTGTGCCAGTGGCAGGACCTTCCTTTGGAGTTGAGCCACTGTGACCTGCAGAACAGGCATGCCTCCAGTTGGGTTCGTTTGGTTTCAGTTCCAAGTCACTTAAGGGTTCTCGGACACATCCTCATACCTGGACCATCGAATGGGTGTCCAACGCAGATGCCTAAGTGTGTCGGGTAGTCCATTGGACACCCATTGGAAGGTCCTCGTAGTATACTATACATAAGATATATACATTACATAACAACTGGTGATCACTCTTTATCAGGACAACACAAACCAAATTTCACTATAGATATATATATATATATAGCTTGCTTATTTGTAGATTTACAGTCATGTTTAATAGACATGTTAATGTTT